CCATGCTGAGTACTTGGGACTCCACTTTGAAGGAACTACGCACCTGCACCCCTAGGTCTTTTTGTTCGGCAACACTCCCCACTGACCTACCATTTACTGTGTAATAATGCCCTGGTTTTCCTGACCAAAATGCAACACCTCACATTTATCTAAATTAAACTCCATCTGCCCTCCTTGGCCCATCTGATCAAGGACCTGTTGTATTTTGAGGTAACCTTCTTCACTGTTCGCTACACCACCTATTTTGGTGTCATCTGCATACTTATTAATCTCATTTACTCCAAATGAACTACACCACACTCATTTAATTCAACATTCTCTACCTCATTGCAACTCACTCTCCTCCATTTTACTTACAATTTTTTACTCCAACTCACTCTGATACTCTCCAAATCAGCCTCCCTCACTGCCACTCATTGCAAATCACTTTAATTCACTCTTCAGCACTCCAGGTCCCCCGACTTTGTTCGGACCTACTCTGATTCACTGTGAATGGCTTACATCACTCCGACTTAAATTGAACTCAGTCTTCTTCAATCTACCTCACTTCAACTCACTGCACACAAATCAAACTCATTCTCACTCACTGTAAATTGCATTACCTCACTCCAAAGCAACCCAACACGCTTATCATTCCAACTCACTCTGAAACACTCCAAATCAGTCTCCAAATCACTCCCACCCATTTGAACTGAATTCAATTCACTCTAACTTGCATCCAAATTGTTCAGTGAGGTAAAGGAGCAAATTGCAGAGTCTTTGACAGAAATTGTTCAGACCTCTCTGAACATAGTATTAGTCCCAAGGACTGGAAAATTGCAAATGTGACACCATTGTTGAAGAAAGGGGCAAAGGATAATCCAGGAAACAGCAGACCTGTCAGTTTAACATCAACAGTGGGAAATCCAATGGAGGCTATAATATGGGCTAAGATAAATGTGCACTTCAAGGAAAAATACAAAATAGTCAACATGGCTTTACCAAGGGCAGGTCATGTTTGACAAACTTAATTGAGTTCTTTGACAAGGTGACACAGGCAGCGGATCAGGGTAGTACTGGGAATGTTGTCTATTTGGATTTTCAGAAAGCATTCGATATGGTGCCACATGGCAGGTTCATCAACAAATTGGAAATGTTTGGGATTACTGGGTCCTTGGCAGCATTGATTAAAAGTTGGCTAAAAGATTGGAAACAGAGGGTAAGTGGAGATGAGTTGAAAGTGGTGTTCCCCAAGGATCGGTGTTGGGACCCTTGCTTTTTCTGATTTTTAAATTTATTACTATTTATATATGGATAAATAGGCAGACATCTGGTAGTTGAATTTCAATGCAGAGAAATGTGAGGTAATACTTTTTGGCAGAAGAAATATGAAGAGACAATACAGGCTCAATGGCATAACTCTGAGGTTTGTACAGGAGCAGAAGGACCTTGGGTTTGTTTATGATTCTCTGAATATGGCCAGGGAAGTTGAAACAGTTGCTCAGAAGGTTTACAGGATCCTTGGGTTTATAAATAGATGCATAGAGTATAAAAGCAAGGAAGTAAAGCTACACCTCTCATTGGTCAGACTATATTTGCAGCATTGTGCTCAGTTCTGGTCATCTTATTTCAGGAAGGATGTTAAAGCCCTGGAAAGATGGAAAGGAGATTTATGAGAATGATACCAGGAATGTTACATGCAAGGAACGATTAGAAAAAAAATGGCTTTTTCTCTTTGGAGCAGAAAGTTTAAGAGGTGATCTTTTTGAGGTCTTCAAAATTATGTACAATTTTGACAGGGTAAGGAAGGATATTCTGGTTCCACTAGTTGGTATGTCAGTAACTAGGGGTCACTATATCAAAATTGTCAGCGAGACAACTTAGTGTGAAACAAGGAGAAACTTCTTTACTCAGAGAGTTGTTAGGATTTGGAATGCATTGCCTGGGAGAGTGGTAGCAGCAGATTCAATTGGAGGTTTCAATAGAGAGCTGGAAACATATATGAAAGTTATGAATTTAGTGAGCTGTGGAGATAGGGCTGGAGAATGGGAACAGCTGGATAGCTCTTTCAGGAACCAGTGCAGAGACAATGGGTTGAATGGCCTCATTTTGTACTGTAAAACTTATGATTCTTTGAAATCTGCGCTGCTTTCCCAAGAAGGTCCACATTGTCTTGCCTTCCTTGGCTGTGATGAAGTCGGTTAACTTGATTGGCTGGCTGATTGGTGCGTGAAGCAAAGTGAAACCAGCAGCATAGGTTCAGTAAAAACCGAAAGAACTGCGGATGCTGTAAATCAGGTACAAAAACAAAGTTGCTGGCAAAGCTCAGCAGGTTTGGCAGCATCTGTGAAGGAGAAAAACAGTTAACGTTTCGGGTCCCATGACCTTTCCTCAGAATTGGAAGGGTGTTCTGAGGAAGGGTCACCGGACCCGAAACGTTAACTGTGTTTCTTCCTTCACAGATGCTTCCAGACCTGCTGAGCTTTTCCAGCATAGGTTCAGTACCTATACAGTCTGAGGATACCATGAAAGACACTCCTTCCCAATCTCTCCCCTTGCTTGACGTGTTGTCACCCTGAGGTTAAACTAACACCGGTGATAACATTCTCCACTGTCCACTACACCACCAGCAGTTCTCTGGGACTATGGCGACTTCACTTTACCAGAACTAGGCACATCCTCCAGGGCTGCTCTGGGCGGGATTTCAAATCTCTCGGGGCTTTTCCAATGACACTGATCTCAGAAATCTTTGCCAACAGACACAACAGTCAAACCTTTTACCTTGCATGGTGAAGGGCCAATGATATTGAGGTGGTGGTGAATGCAGTCCTCTAACAGATCTTGCAGTGATGTTTGGTTGGAATTGACGACCTGGAATCTGCTTCCCATTGAACATGCTGCAAAAGGTATGGACAGAAAGAGTCTCCCTCTTGGTCCAAGTCAAAGTTCCGGCTCCAGCACCTACACAACGCATGCTCCGCTCACAGCCCGGTCCGCCATTGCTCGAAGGTGAAATACTGCAGATGCTGGAAAACTGAAACAAAGACAGAGAATGCTGGAGAAACTCAGCACGTGTGGCACCATCTGTGGAAAGAGAGATAGAGTTAAAATTTCGAGTCCTACATGACTCTTCGTCCTTCAATCACACTGAACGTTTGGAGGACTAGCCTCTCCACATTGGTCCTCCAGCACCGCCCCCGCTTCCTATTGGTCCTCCAGCACCGGCACCCTCGCGCTTCCCATTGGTCCTCCAGCATCGTCTCCATCCTATTAGTCCACTGGCACCAACACCCCCGCTTCCTATTGGTCTTCTAGCATCAGCACCACTTCTGTTGGCCCTGTCAAGCAGTAGAGACTGCAGGTTGGAGCATGCGCACTGTGGGTGATCACAACAAAATGTTTGTTTGTGATATCCACACGCACACCGGAAAGGCTGAAGCCGAAGTCGGCGCTCGGCATATCGAGCTGTGGGTAGGTTTTATAAAATGTCCCGTGAGGTCTTAATCTCCAAATAAGTATCTTTTGGTGCCATGTTTTAAGCAGACCATGCAGCTATTTTCTCGGAAACTAGCCTTGGCCTGTAGCCGCCATCTTGGTTCGGCGCAGCGGAGTGGGCGGGGCCAGGTCTCTGGGGTTCCAGACGGCTCTCTGCTCTAGTGCGCATGCACGGACATCCTGGGCCCAGGGAAGACGGCAATGTTGTGGTTGTGTGTCCTGGACTGATAGGGATGGAGTCTAGAAACTCCTTTTACAGGGGATTGGGAGAATAGCATTTACACGTAGAACACTTACACACTGAGGGAAATGAGCATCTACTGCTCTATTTTGGATTTGCCTCACCTAATCGTGCCTCTGTGGTTGTTTAACTTGCTCTGTTTTTAACAATGAGCATATTTTTGCTATGTTCCACTGTTCCTTCTGCTGACATAGGACTAAATGGGATTTCTTTTTGATTCACTCGAGATGTAGATGTCACTACCTTCTTGAACCACCACAGTCCTTGTGCTGTAGAGAGACCCGCAGTGGTGTTAGTGAGGGAATTCCAGGATTTTGAGCCAACAATATATTTCCCAGTCAAGATGGTGAGTAGAAAAGAACCAAGATGGTGAGTGGCTTGGAGGGGAACTTGTAGGTAGTAGTGTTCCTGTTTATCTGCTACCCTTGCCCTTTTAAATGGACTTTATGGTGGATTTGGAAGTTCCTGAATAGCGGTGCATCATGTAGAAGATACTGCTACTGAGCATCAGTGGTGGAGAGAGTAGGTGTTTGTGAATGTAATGTCAACCAAGCAGGCTGCTTGGTCCTGGATGGTTTGCAGCACTGTCCACATCCACCCAATGTGCTTCCCAACTTTTATCAGCCCACAACAATTGTTTTGACAGCTTTAGTTCATTTCTCTTAATCTTCTAGGTTTATATTGGGTCAACATTGCGTGTAATTTATTCCGTATAATTCATTCTACATCTGTTTTCCCACCTCCACAGTTACCAGCAGATATTGCCCATCCACAGTGACCTGTGGGAAAGTTGATGTTTGACCTCCATGAATCAGCGTAATCCCACAATATTTGTGGGGTGAGGAAACATAGGATTTTCGCCAAGGTGATGAGTGAACAGTGATATATGTCCAAGTCATCAATACGAATTTGCATTTCTATCATGGAGTCATACAGCACAGAAACCAACTTGTCCATGCTGATCAGGTTTCCTAAACTGGACTAGTCCCATTTGCCTGCATTTGGCCCATATCCCTCTGAACCTTTCCTATCTTTGTACCTGTCCAAATGACTTTTAAATGTTGTACTTACCACTACCACTTCCTCTGGCAGCTTGTTTCATTTATGCACCACACTCTGTGTAGAAAAAGTTGCCCTTTCAGGTCTCTTTAATCATTTCCCTTCTCACCTTAAAACTGTGCCCTCGGGAAAAGACCTTGGCTATTCACCTTATCTATACCCCTCATGATTTATAAGCCTCTTCAAGGTCACCCTTCAGCCTCCTATACTCCAGGGGAAAAAAAATCCCAGATTATCCAGCCTCTCCTTATAAATCAAAATGGAATATAATGTTAATACCATATCACAGGACCTCTGCAAAGCAGTGTCTGATACTGAGTGCAAGAAGGTATCAGAGCAAATTACTAAAAATTTTTTTGGAGAGGTTATGGTGAGTATTTTAAAGGAAAGTGAAGTGGAGAGCTTTAAGGAGGAACTTCCAGAGCTTGGGGTCCAGGGAACTGAAAGAACAGCCATCTATGGTGGAGTTACATGATTGGTTTTGACTGGCACTTTGGGCCAAAGAGCTGTTTTTTGTGCTGTGAACCTCTGATTCTGATTTAAAATCAGGAATGTTCAAGAGGCTGGAATTCAGAGTGCAGAGATCTCACAGTATTGTGGGGCTGGAGGGGATTAGAGAGATTGGGATGACCACAATCATGGAGGAAAACCTTCAAATGTAGGTGCTTCTCAAATGTGAGCTTTTATGGTCAATGAGCATAGATGTGATGCGTGAAGAAGATTTGGTGTAAGGAAGCACACGGCAGCAGAATTTTAGATGAGCTCAATATGACTCAGAGGCTGAATGTCCAAGGCTTGGAGTGTGTTATGTTCAGTTAAGTTTAGAGGTAGCAAAGGAATGAATGAAAGTCCCAGCAGCAGGTGAGCTGAGACGAAGATGGAATCAGGTGATGTTACTGAGATGGAAATGATGAGGATGGTGATGATAAGGATATCTGGTTGAAAACACACCATGGGGTGAAATATTTTGCCGTGGTTGTGAAGACTGTGGCATTCAGCCTCAGCTGGTTTCCGAGGAGAGGGTTAAAGTCTATGGGGCAGAAGTGGAATTTGTCATCAGAACTGGAAACACTGCTGTTATCTTCCCAGTAGTTAAATGGAGGAAATTTCTGCTGATTCAGTCCTCGAGCTCAGACAAGTCAGGATTGTCTGAGACTTGGTGGAACTTGGATGACATTCACATTCATCTGTTGCCCTGATACTTCTACGTGGTGTGGGTTGAGAGTTTGGGAGGTTCTGTTAAAATTTTGGTCAAATTGTAGTATATAATTCCCTCTCCTTCCCCTATTTTCTTGCACCTCTCTTCCTTTCCCTCTTCTCATAGAAATCAGATCTATTTATACATCCAGACTGAATGGCAGGTTCCATTACGTAAAGGACATCAGTGATGCAGTTAAGTTTTTATGACAATTCAGCAGCTTCCAAGGTAATTTATGCTGCACCAAGTGCTAGCCCCACAGGTTCCTAGATTCATTCAGCTCCATTGCACAACTTGCATTTGTCTCATTCTCTCTCATTCTCTCTCTCTCTCTGTCTCTCTCTCTTCCCCCCGCCCCCCCACCATTCTCTGTCTCACGCATGTGGTCTGTTGCGCCGCGCTCTCGCTCTCTTTCTCTCTCCTTTCCTCGTTCCTCCCATTACTTCAAATTCAATGGATTATGATCGGGAAAGATTTGCAGTTAGGTAATGTCACCTCAGGATATTAATCATAACCTTGAACGAAAAAATTTTGAATGTGGAAGTAAAAGGACTATTCACAAGTGTAGTCACACTAGGGAGAAATCGTTGCAATTTGGAGACTGTGAGAAGGGATTCAGTTCCTAATCGGAGCAGGATGCTCATTGCACTCACACAGAGGCCCTTTCACCAGCTCCGAGTGTAGGAAGGGATTCACTCGAATGGTCAAGCTGATGACACATCAGCAAGTGCACGCAGGGGACAGACTTTTTAAAAACCCAAGCTGCGAGAAATATGATAAATGATGGGACTTCATGTCCCCAGAAATGCGTTTATGCCACTGGTAGACCATTCAGATGCTGTCACCGTGGGGTTTGGTTTAGGGGTTCGTTTCAACACCAGTGAATTCACCCTGGGGTGAGGCTCTATATGTTCATTCCCTACTCAGTACTTCCCCCTCCCTACCTTTTGTGAACTCCTCCAGCACCACATCTCTCTCAAATATCTGCCCTTCTATCCTGACACATAACTCTTATTTTGTTTGTTCCACTATGAGTCTGTACTTCCAGCTGCTGAAGTATCTTTGTTGTGTAGTTCCCTTCCTAAAGCACTCTGCTTTTACCTGTTTCACTCCTGAGATATCCCTTAATATTTAACTCTTTAAGCAGGCATTTGTCCATCTGCTTTAATTTCTTTATATGTGGCCCTGCGGGTTTGTTTGTTTAACACCATGTTAAATGTTTTGCTATGGGGAAAGTGCAATATGAAGGTGCGATGAAAAGCAGTAATACCACTAGAATCCAACTCCTGTAACCCCCTGTAAACTTACAGGTGTCTCAGCCACTGGATGTCTGATTGAATCCTTCCTGCACATGGAGTAGGGGAATGGTCTGTCCCCGGTGTGACTGCACCATTGTGTGATCAGTTCGGGTGAGTAACAGTATCCCTGTGATTGTCTATTTCTACAATGTCTCCATAATGTCTTTTGTCTCTCCTCACTGGATGACCAGATGCAGTCTAATTCAATGTTCAGAACATCCATACAATTTCTCCCCATGGTGAATACATTTTCTTTTCATGCTCTGTGACTGGTTAAAGCTCTCTCCAGACAGTACACTGGAGTACACTCACTCAAGCTGTATAACTGGTTAGAGCTCTTTCCACACTCAGTTCATTAGCACACACTCACTTGAGTCACAGAATCACAGAATCCCAACATTGCAGAAGGAGACTATTTGGCCCATTGATTCACACCAACCCTCTGAGGAGCATCCCCACCCACCCACAACACCCCCTCCCAACCACCACCACCATGCCTGTAACCCTACATTTCCCGTAGCTTATACATCTAGCCTTTACATCCTAGCCTGGCCAATCTGTCTAACCTGCACATCTTTGGACTGTGAGAGGAAACCCATTCAGACACAGGAGAATGTGCAAACTCCACACAGACAGTTGCCCAAGGCTGGAATCAAACCCTGGTCCCTGGCGCTTTGAGGCAGCAGTGCTAACCACAGCAATCGTCTTGCTCCTTGATGCTTTTCCAGTCTCACAGACCAATGAAGTAACTTGCCACATTAGAGCAAACTCACATGTCTTCCTTGCGTAAACATGTTGAGAGTCCAACTGACAATCCTAAAGTGGTTGTTGACATAATTCGTCGTACATTCAGGGTGATGCAGCAATTATTATCCAGAACAAGCTCCAGGTCAACAGGCACCTTCTTGGTTCAGTGGGGAGTGGAACACCTGTGCAAGGTTCTTGCTGAAATGACACATAAGTGGGAGGGGCTTCAGGATTCCTGGTGGCCAAGAGAGAGAATCTTTGATCCATTGATTTTATTCTCATTCTGTCCAAAGAAGCTTGAGACCAGCTGGTATAATGGCCACCCACTTTAAAGTGGGATGCTACTGGAGAGAGCATGTGGGGCAATCCACAGAATGTCAGAAATAGGGGCAGCATTAGGCTTTTTGGCCCACTGAACATGCTCCACTATCCAACAAGATCGTAGCTGATTTGATTCCGACCCCTCAACTTCGTTTTCCTTCCTATGCCTTGGAACTTTTTTCTGCTGAATTTTTAACCTCATCTAACACTTCTGTTTTTTTAATCATATCCTTTGTCAGTATTTAGAAGATTTGCAGGGTGTGAGATTTTCTGGTTCTACTGCTTCTGATATTTTTCCAGCTGTAGGTCAAGCTGAATATTTGAAAATACTGCAATTGTTTGGGAGGTGAGTGTTTTTGAGCATATATCTACAATTTAGATCTTTCTATGGAATCCTCTAGTTCCCAGGTCCTGGGGATAGTGTAGCTCCTTTACTGTGGATCTGAATTGATGGCCGCCCATTGCTCTGTTTCACCTCTGCCCTCCCTGATCATCTTTCTGCCATTGTCTGACTTACTCTGCCTCTAATAATGGATTTATTTCAGCCATGTTTAGTATTTCATTATTATTTCTGTTGATTGTGTCTAAATGAGGTTTCTATTGCTGCCGATCACTGGTTATATGCTGCTGATTTCCCAGCTTTATCTTCCCATGGTCAGGAATTGTTTATGCTGTGCAGGAGAACACTTCTCTTCTTCTGAGCTAATACTGATCCTCAAATACTGCTCCATTTTTATTCCCTGTAATTCATCTGTATAGCCTGAAAGGTAAACCCTGGTTCTCTCTCACCACAGATGCTGCCTGACCTGCTTTTACTTCTTTTGTCAGATTTACAGCACCCACAGGATGTTACTGGTAGCAAGCTCCCAATGTGAAATTGTCAAGTGAGGCACATGCTAGAAAAGCAGATTGCCGGTTGCTGTTATTTTAGGGAAAAGTATTTCTGAAGGTTCTTTAAAACTCTGCACAAATCTATTTTCAAAATTTATTTTTAGGATTTGGGCTTCACTAACAAGACCTGCAGCTCATGTTACCAATCCCCAGTTGTCTGGATGATGTTTGACCTTATTGAACTGCTGCAGTTCATGTACAGAAGCTGCTGCCATAATGCTGTTCAGTAAGGAGTTAACAGGATTTTCACCCAGTGATGATGAGGGGATGCTGATTTCCGTCTCGGTGACAGTCATTTTTGTTTCCAAATCACACCTTTAACAGAATACAATACAACAGAATACAAAACAGCATTTGACACCGAGTCATGTCATGATGTATTAGGGCAAGTGACCAAAAACTTGGTCAAAGAGGAGACTTTTAAGGAGTATCTTAAAGAGGAAAGTAAGGGAGGGAGGCAGAGCAATTTATGGAGGAATTTCCAGAATCTGGGGCCCAAGAAAATGCAAGCGTGTGCAATTATCTCGAAGGATTGTGTGTCAGCAGGGATTACCAAGATGGGACTGATGGCTGTCAGAAAGGGATTTGAAAACTCTAACCCTAATCCACAACTTCCATCATCACTTTTTCCAAGTTCCAGACCCACAAACTAACAGCTTCATTCAGCTCAATTTCACAACCTGCTCTGACAATCAGAAGATGTGAGAATCTGTTATAAATGCTGAAATAACAAAGCGTTTAGAAATACATAATATAATGAAGAAGATTCAGCTTGGCTTTTTAGAGGGGAAATCATACCTGACAAGTTTATTAGAATGTTGAGGTGGGACCGAGCAGGATATACAAAGGAAAATCTGTAGATGTAATATGTTTGGATTTCTAAAAAGCACTCTGTATGGTATTGTACATGAGACTATTTAAGATCAGAATGCCTGCTGTTGTAGTTATGTATTAGCATGGATAGAGGATTGGCTGACTAATAAAGACAGAGTTGGAATAACTCGGGCATTCTAATGATGTCAAATTGTAAATAGTACAAGTAAGTAGTAGGAATCAGTGCTGGAATCACAATTATTGACAATATATACTAATGACTTGGATGTCAGAAGTGAAAATCATCATCATAGAATCCCTGCAGTGTGGAAGCAGACCATTTGGCCCCTTGAGTCCATACCAATCCTCCGAAGAGCATCTCATGCAGACCCATTCCCCTACACTGTCCTTGTAACCTTGCATTTCCCATGGCTAATCCACATATCCATGGACACTACGGGCAATTTAGCATGGCCTATCCACCCAACCTGCAAACTTTGGAATGTACCATTGCCAACTCTGCAGAAGACTCAAAATAGACAGTGAGGTGAGTTGATGATGATACAAAGGGTCAACAGAAGGATATAGATAGGTAGTGTATGGACAAAAATCTTGGCAGATGGAATATAATGTGGTAAAACATGAGGTTTATGTACTTTGGCAGGAGGAATAGGAGAGGTGAATATTATTTAAATAGGGAAAAACACTGCAGAAAACAGTGAGAGATTTGGGTGTCTTCGTCCTTGGAACACAAAACGTTAGCACCAAGCTCACTGGGCAGTAGGAAAGGCAAATGGTCTATTGGCCTTTATTTTGAAGCGAGAGAGATATAAAAATAGGGAAGTCTTGTTAAAATGACATAAGACATTCCTCAGACCATGTTTGAAATACTGTGAATGGTTTTCATCCCTTGTAATAGAAAGATGTACTGGCATCAAAGACAGTCTAGAGAATGTTTGCTAGTTTGACCCTGGACATGGTGGGGGTCACCTTTTTTTTGAGGAGAGATTGAGTGGGTTGGGAGCGTACGCACTGAGGTTTCGAAGATAGTCTTACTATTTTCTGGGTTTTCTCTCACTCCTTCATTTCTGTTTTCAACCAGTTTCACAGGGTATTAGAAGCGGAAGATTTGCAGTGAGGAAACGTAAACCAAACATCACTTCAGGATCTGACTGAATCGTCCAATTTATTGTAGCCTGGATATCATTGGATATTGAACATGGAAGAAAAAGACACCACTCACAGTGGGGAGAAACCATACACATGTTGTACATGTGGACAAGGCTTCAGCAGATCATCTACCCTATCAAAACATCAATACAGTCATGCTGGGGAGAGGCCATTCATCTGTTCCCAGTGTGGGAAAGGATTCACTCGATCATCCATCCTGCTGAGACACCAGCAAATTCACACGGAAGAGAGACCTTTTAAATGCGCAGACTGTGGCAAGTGCTTTAAAAGCCCTGGAGATCTGATGTCCCATCAACGTGTTCACACTGATGAGAGACCATTCTGTTGCTCTCACTGTAGGACTGGATTCAGGTGGTCATCCCAACTCGCTGCACGCCAGCGAGTTCACACTGGGGAGTCGCTGTTCACCTGCATGAAGTGTGGGAAGGGGTTCACTCGGTCATCTCACCTCATGACACACCAACGGCTTCACACTCGGGAGAGGCCCTTCACCTGCTCTGTCTGTGGGAAGGGATTCTCTGATTCATCACACACCAGCGAGTTCACACCAACAACAGGCCGTTCAACTGCTTTGTGTGAGGGAAGAGATTCACTCAGTCATGCAAACTGCTGACACACCAGCGAGTTCACACGAATGAGAGACGTTTTAGATGTTCAGATTGTGGGAAGTGCTATAAAAGCCCTGGAGATCTGATGTCCCATCAACGTGTTCACAGTGAGGAGAGACCTTTTAAATGCCCAGACTGTGGGAAGTGTTACCGAAGTTATGGGGACCTGATGTCCCATCAGCGTGTTCACACTGACGAGAGACCCTTCAAGTGCTCTCATTGTGAGATTGGGTTTAGGCGATCATCTGACCTCATTGATCACCAGAGGATTCACACTGGGGAGAGACCATTCACCTGCGTCGAGTGTGGGAAGGGATTCAGTCAGAAATCCAACCTGCTGAAACACCAGCAAGTTCACACAGAGAAGAGACCTTTTAAATGCCCAGACTGTGGGAAATGCTTTAAAAACTCTGGGGACCTGATGTTCCATCAACGTGTTCACACTGATGAGAGACCTTTCAGGTGCTCTCACTGTGGGACTGGGTTCAAGTGGTCATCCCAACTCACTGTACATCAGCGAGTTCACACTGGAGAGAGGCCATTCACCTGCACTGACTGTGGGAAGAGATTTGCTGTGAAATTCAACCTGCTGAGTCATCAGCGCGTTCATGAGTACTGATAGTGATTGGATTTCACTGTGAACATTTCCCTGCTTGCTAATGTCCTTACCTCTCGGCCAACAATCTGGTTTCAAGTCCCACCTGGCATGAAGCTGTCTCAACAGATCCAAACAGTTCGATTCAGAATGTTTTTTTCAATCGATGTTTGAACTATATCCATTTGAGTCTGTTTCTACTGAAATTAACAAACTCCAGTTCAGTAAACTCAGTCTATCAAAACTTTTGAATATCTTGGATGCTTCCTTTTGAACTTTCACCCTTTCTGTCCCCCCCATCTTGTGTGTAGCTCTATGAGCTCCCCTTGTCATTCTGATTGAGATGATCTGACCAGCTGCCGCTCCCATATACCTCCTTTCCCTGAAACTGTCCCCCATCTCTGAGCCCTGAGCCCTCAATTTCTCCGGTTCCTTTAACAAAAATAACAAAACAGAAATACAGTACAGGAACAGGCAATTCAGCCTTCCAAGCCTATACTGATCACCTTGCCCTAACTAAACTAAAAAAACAAACCTTCTGCCCTTATTCAGTCCGTATCCCTCTATTCCCTCCCTATTCATGTAACCATCCAGATACCTCTTAAATGTTGCCAACCTGCCTGCTTCCACCACCTCTGGCAGTAAATTTGGACTCCTACCACTCTCGCACATCTCCCTTAAACTTTCCCCCTCTCACCTTGAACCTGTGCCCCCTTGTAATTGAAACTTCAACCCTTGGAAAAAGCCTCTGACTATCCACCCTATCATTGCCTGTCATAATTGTTTTAGACCTCTATCAGGTTTCCTCTCTGCTGCCGTCTTTCCAGTGAAAACAATCCTAGTCTTTCTAACCTTTCCTCATAGCCAATGGCCTTGACACCGAGCAACGCCTTGGTGAACCTTCTCTGCACTCCAAAGCTTCCACGTCTTTCTGGTAATGTTGCAACCAAAACTGCATAGAATACTCCAAATGTAGCCACAAGGGTTTTGTAGCTGCAACATGGTTTGCCAACTGTTGTACTCCATGCCCTGACCAATGAAGGCAAGTATGCCAAATGTCTTCTTAATCACCTTGGCCACCTGTGTTGCCACTTTTAAGGAACTGTGGCCCTGCATGCCCAGATCCGTCTGTATGTTAATGTTCCTGCGGGTTCTTCCATTTAGTGTAATTCACGCCTAAATTTGATCCTCCAAAATGCATCACCCCGCATTTGTCTGGATTAAACTCCACCTGCCATTTCTGTGCCCAAATCACCAATCTACCTATATCCTGTTGTATCCTTTCACAATCATTGGCACTATCAGCAAGTCCACCAATTTCGCGTCATCTGCAAAATTACTAATCACCCACAATTTCCTCCAGATCATTTATATATACTACAAACAGCAGAGGACCAAGACTGATCCCTGTGGAACACTGCTAGTTACCGGTCTCCATTCTGAAAAACACCCTTCCACTGCTACCCTCTGTCTTCTATGACCAAGTCAGTTTTGTATCCATTTAGCCAGCCCACCTTGAATCCTGTGTGATTTTAGTTTTTGTACCAATCTGCCATGTGGAACTTTATCAAATGCCTTCCTAAAGTCCATATAAACTACATCTACAGCTGTTCCTCATCAATTGTCTTTGTCACCTCTTCAAAAAATTCGAACAGGTTGGTGAGACATGACCTTCTCTGCACAGAACCATGCTGCCTGTTACTAACTAGTCCATTTTCTTCCAAATGTGCATTTATCTTGTCCTTCAGTATGTTCTCCAAATGCTTCCCCACCACAGACATCAGGCTCACCAGGACTATAATTTCCTGGATTATCCCTGCTTCTTTTCTTAAACAAGGGAACAACTTTGGTTAATCTCCAGTCCTCTGGAACCTCGTCCATGGTCAAAGAGGATGTGAAGATATATGCTAATGTCCCAGGTATTTCTTCCCTTGCCTCTTGCACAAACCTGGGATAGATCCCATCTGGCCCTGAGGAATTTATCTACCTTAATGCAATTTAGGATACCCAAAACCTGCTCCTTCAATATATTGACAATATTCTCAAAGAGTATTCACACACTCATCCCTGACCTCAACATCAGTCATGTCCTAAAAGCCTCCCCATGCCAGACATAGATTTGCCCTCAAATAACTGCTCCCAATCCACATTCCGCAGTTACTCTCTAATTTGGATGTAATTGGCCCTTGCCCGATTAAGCACCTTGCCCGATTAAGCACCCTCACCCGAGGGCCACTCGTGACCTTCTCCATGACTACGCAAAATCTGATGAAGTTATGGTCACCAAGCCCAAACTGCTCTCCTACTGAAACATCGATCACCTGTCCTGGCTCATTCCCTAATACCAAGTCTAGTATGGCCTCCTCTCTGGTTGGATTGTCAACATACTGTCTCAAAAAGCCCTCCTGAACACATCTAACAAATTGCTCTCCATCCAAGCCTTTGGCTGTAACGGAATCCCAGTCAATAAGAGGAAAGTTGAAATCACCCACCACAACTATCCTGCTTTCTTCACACCTCTCCAGTATTTGACTACATATCTGTTCCTCTGTCTCCTGTGGGCTGTTGGGAAGTCTGTAGAAAACTCACAACATTGTGATTTCACCCTTTCTATTCCTGAGCTCCACCCATAATGCCTCACTGCAAGATCCCTCTGATGTGTCCTCCCTCCACACAGCTGTGATGTGATCCCTAATCAGCAATGCAACTCCCCCACCCCTTTGTTTCCCTCTCTGTCCCATCTAAAACAGCGATATCCTGGAATGCTAAGCCGTCAATCCTATCCGTCCTTTAACCATGTCTTCATAATGGCAATAACATCATAATTCCATGCAGTAATCCATGTTCTTAGTTCATCTGTTATACTTCTTGCATTGCAGTAAATGCATTCCAGACCTCCAGTCCCTCTGAGCCCTGCAACTTCCCTCTGCCTGCTCTTATTCTGCACAATGCATATCTCAGCCTCTCTTTTGTCCTGTTTTGTGCACTTATTGGCCCGTTGTTCCACTTCCCAACCCCCGCCACACTAGCTTAAACCCTCCCAAAGGGCTCAAGCAAACCTCATGCCCATGATATTGGTGTACCACCAGTTCAGGTGCAAACTGTCCTTATTGTACAAGTCTCACCTTCCCCAGAAGAAATCCCAGTGATCCATATATCTAAAGCCCTCCCTCCTCCATCAGCTCTGTAGCCACATGTTCAACTATACTCTTTCTCTGTTCCTGGCCTCACAAGCCCGTGGCATGGTTAGTAATCCTGAGACTACTACCCTGCTTTTTAGCTCCCTACCTAACTCCCTGAACTATCCTTGCAGGACCTCTTCCGTCTTCCTACCTGTGTCATTTGTGTCAATGTGGACAGTGACTTCTGTCTGTCTTCCCTCCTGTTTCGGGATGTCCTGTACCTGCTCTGAGACATCCAAGACCCTGACACCAGGCAGGCAACACATCATTCTAGAGTCTTGTTTACAGCCACAGAAATGCCTGTCTGTGCTCTTAACTATGGAGTCACTTACTACTATTGTTCGTCTGGAATTTGCCTCACCCTGCTCTACAGCAAAACCAATTGTGGTTGCACAGGCCTGCCTGCTGCTTGTACCATCTCCTGCGAGGCTATCCCCCTCAACAGTATCCAAAACAGTGTACCTGTTTGAGAGGGGAATATCCACAGGAGACTCCTGCACTAGCTGCCTGCCTCTCCTGGCAGTCACCCATCTATCTGTCTGGACCTGTGGTGTAACCACCTCCCTAAAGCTAGTGTTTATCACTCTCTCTACCCTCTGTATGCAATGCATTATGTCCAGCTGCTTCTCCAACCAAACTACGGTCTGTGAGGAGCTGCAGCCGGTCCCACTTCCTGTGGATGTAGTTGTCAGGGACAATAGACTGCTCCCTGATTTCCCATATCTGGCAGGAGGAGCATACCACTGCCCTGACTGCCAACGCTGTCCTTGTACGCTGAAAAAAAGAGAGTCTTACCTTGACTGTCCTCCTCACTGTGCCTTCCTTTTTTGGTTACAGGAGGTGGGGAGGAAACACTACTATTTCGGGTTAAGCCACACCAGTTCCTCTGCTATATTCAGACCAGTCATGGTGACTGCAGTGCCGTCTCCCAGAATTCCTCTCAGTGATGTCTCTCACCCTCTACTACCTTCAGTGCTCCTTGCATCAATGAGACAACTTCCTAGTCCCTCCACCCTTCTAATTCAATTGCTGAGCATACCCCCACCTCCCCCAAATAAGCTGATGTTGTGCACAGTCTTGCTTGATCATGGAACTCAGTTTAAATTCTCCATCATCACCATCCAGTGAAAAATCAACTCTAGATGGCACTATCCTTTCCTCTCCAATGACTTAGAACTTGGTGTGCCCCAATGCTGGCAGCATTCCGGGAAGACAAATTGTCTGGCCCAGATGGGATGCATTCTAGTTTGTTGAGAGAGATAAGGGAGCAAATCACAGAGCCATTGACAGAAATTTCCCAGACCTCTCTGAGCACAGGATTAGTCCCAGGGGACTGGAGGATTGCAAAAGTGATGCTGTTGCTTAAGAAAAGGAAACTACAGACCTGTCAGCTTGACATCAAAAGTCCGAAAAAACTGATGGAACCCATAATAAGGGATAAATTACACACTTGGAGAAAAATAAGTTAATACTAGAGTCAACATGGCTTTGTCAAGGGCAGGTCATATCTGATAAATTTAATTGAGTTCTTTGACAAGCTGACACAGGCAGTAGATGATGTAGATTTGGACTTTCAGAAAGCTTTTGATATGATGCCAATTGGCAGGTTGGTTAGAAAATTAGAAATATTTGGGATTGATGAGTCCTTGGCAGCATGGATTAGAAGTTGGCTAAATGATAGGAAACAGATGTTAAGTATAGTAGGGCATTGCTCAGGCTAGAGATGAGTTGAAACTGGTGTTCCCCAGGGATCAGTGGTTGGGACTGTTGCTTTTTTTGATCTATATAAAAGACTGGAGATGGGTGTTGATGCAAAATCTCTAAACTCGCAGCTAGAGATAATGGTGAACTGTGAGGATGACACTGAGCGACTTCAGTAGGATCTTGACAAGTTGGCCAAAGAGGCAGTTGAATTTCAATGCAGAGAAATGTGAGGTAATGCATTTTGGAAGAATCATAGAATCCCCACGCTGTGGTAACAGGCCAATCAGCCCAACAAGTCCACACCACCCTGCCAAAGAGCATCCCACCCAGACCTATTCCCCTACCCTTTCCCTGTAAT